CTCCCCACTTTTCTATTTCCTGTCTCTTAATGAAACTTCCTACATAAGCTCTACCTGCCTGGCACGTTTGTCCCCTACCTTCCAAGGTCCGATCTTGCCACACCATAACAGTTGCCATCTCAAGAGACTAAGGTAAAGAGCAACAGGACAGGACATTGATGTCCTCTTACAGCCTCTGCATAGGCGTGCATGGGTACATCTACCTACGTATCGCATGTCACACACACACACACACACACACACACACACACACACGTATGCATAAACTGTATGCATAGCACACGGTGGTCACTGAAAATGCAGAACTGAGTCTGAGGCCGTCTACCATGGGGGACTGGTCAGGCTTTGTTCCTTTTCTGGGAAAAAGACAGCTCTGTCAAACGGAAAAGTCCCGTGTGAAAACCTACTGGAATTAGCCCATCTTCTACATTTTTGAGCTTGTTACAGGGTCAGCCCTGTGTGCGCTGTTGCCATAATACTGCATGTGACCAAATGTCCTTGATTTGACCTTGTGGGAATATGTAAACCACGGGACTCAAGGAGGGCTGTTTGTGGGAGGAAGGATCATGTGATGTGGAGCAAACTCTGTTTGCGATTCCCTGACTGCTGGTGATTTCTGGGAAGTGGCAGGAGGTGACTGCACAAAGAACCCAGACCCCACAAAGACGGGACTTGTAGGTGGGCAGGAAGTGGGGAGCCAGGGCTCCCAGTGCAGGTTCTGCTCAGCACTGGCATTTCCTGGGCTACGTCTGTCAGCACAGAACTGCTTACGGCAGGAGCAGAAGACAAGCTAAGGGAGTACCTACCAGTTTGCCTCCTTGTGCTGGGACACCAAATCCACGTTTGGCTGTAAATAAAAGCTGGTTTTCAAATTGTATTAAGGAGCTGGTTGTGGTGGCTCAGGTGGGAGGAAGAGTAGCGAGAGTTTGAGGTTTCCTAGTGAGTTCCAGGATAGTACGCACTTCAGAGGGAGACTGTGTCTCAGAAAACAAACGTATAGTAATATATGGAATCAAATACATCTAGAAAAGCTGAGATGGGGGCAGAAATGATATAAATACAGCATAAAACTCTCAAGGAAAACAGAACCCAGCCCATGTAAAAAAAAAAAAAAAAGAAAAGAAAAGAACAAAAGGAAGGAAGACAGAGATAGAGATGAATGGATGGATGGGCAGATGGTTTGAATGGATAGACAGACAGGCAGATAGACAAACAGACAGACAGATAGACAGAAGTTAAGAGTGATGGCTCATGCCTGTTAACACTGAGAAGCTGAGGTTGGAGTAGTCCCTTCAGTTTGAGGCCAGCCCAGGCTGAAGGATTTGTGCCAGGCGAGCAAAGGCTTCATAGCAAATTATCTGTGTATAAAATCAAACCAAACTGAAATTAAATATTAATAATAGTAAACTACGTTGGGAAGCTAGTTATTTAGAATATCACAGCCATCTCTCTCATAACCCCTCAACTGATCCCCCTCAACTTCATATTTGCAAGCATACATGATGTATGTTGGCGATTATCCAAAGAAATGTACGTTTGTGCTTTAAAAGTCAAAAAAGAAAAAGAAATGGAAAGAACCTGAGGTCCAGTTCTCCTGGGGTAGTCCTTAGGTTTTGGGAAAAGTCTAGCCTTGCTGACAGTGAAGGGTGCCCCTCGTGTGTAGGTGGGACCCCGAGGTTGCTGTGAGTGCGTGTGACTAACTCAGAAGAGAAGATGGCTCCCCCGAGGCCGGGGTCAGGGTTGGAACGGGAGATATTTGGGGCACCCACAGCTGTAGGAAGTGCACGCTCTCTCTTAATTTTGTTTACTTAAGAAGAGAAAAAGAAACCCACATGTTTCTTTGAAGCCCTGTGGGACTGTTTGCTCTGAGATTCCACAGAGAAAGCCTAAGACTGTTGCCAGAATGTCGGTCCCACCATTTACTGTCCTTGGATTTCATGCCTGCTTCACACTTGGAATAAAGATTCATTCATTCCTGGGCCAAGAAACACAGAATCCTATTGTTTTCCTGCCCAAATTGTTCCAAGACCATCTCTTTCTTTCTCCTTTTCCTTGGCCCTGGGGCTGTCAAGCCCAGATAAGCATCTCCATTGGCCCCGGATCTGGTCTCCGCAGGGACAGTATCTTTTTCTTGCCAGTGCCTGGATGGAACACCCTGTTGCTCCAAGCAAGTCTGCTGCCCTCGCCTCTTTCACAGGCACCCTTATTAAACTCTCGGGGTTGTCAAGCCAGATCTGCTGTAATTCCCCATCCTGGGGACGGCTGTGTCATTTTAATAGGCAGGGTGACCATTAGCTTTTGATCAGTGGCAGCCAGCAGGTCCACAGAGGAGGATGAACAAAGCTGTCCCATTTGCTATGACATGTTTCATTGCCTGCTTTGGCCTCAGGAGAGAGGCTGGCTTAATTACGGTAAACTCTGAAGTGTGAAAAAAATAACAGGGGAAGGGATTCCAAAGAAGCTGGTTATCTCTTCGAGGAAAACCACTTCCCAGGGCTGGGGCCTAAGAAATTCCTTTTGTATTCCTTACAGAATGTTCTTAGTCACTTGGAGGATTGGTTTCCAACTGTGGCAATGGCCATGCTGGCTCTTTCACGCCCTCCCCCCTCCCCGCCACCTCCCTGCCTCCCCAGGGGCCTTCCACAGACCCACTGCCCTGCAGCTCCAAAGGATGCCCCCCAAACCTTTTCCCCCCAGTTTCTGACAGAGACAGCCTCTCTCCTCCGGGACGCCTCAGCCAATCATCTTCTCCAGGAATGGCCTCCAAGTTATTTAGTCTCTGTCCTTTCCTTTGTCTGCTGGCTCCAGTCCTCTTATTTAAACAAAACACAACACAACACAACAAAACAAAACAAAAGAACAACAGCAAAACAAAAACAAAAACAAAAAGAAAAGAAAAGAAAAGGAAAAAACCACCCTTTTCCCCCTTTGATCCATTGGACAACTGTCCCATGGCTTCTCTTCCTCACCTCCTACAACACCAAATCACCTACAAGCCTTTGCAGAACCCGATACCAGAATTTCTTCCCCTCCTGCTAACAAGGCATTTCCTGAGGGCTACCCTATCCCTCATTTCCAGTTACAGCTGTCCCAGCTCTGAGACCCATGGTAGAGTCTTCACTTAGGGAATAAGGACCCTGCCTTTATCATCCTGTCTTTACACGGCTTTGTTCTTTAATAGCTACCTACTTATTGAGTATGTGTGTGAGTGTGTGTGCAAGTGCACATGAGTGCGTGCCATAGATGTGAGCGGAGGTCAGAGATCAGCTTGTGGGAATCAGTTCTCTCTTCCCACTGTGTGGGTTCTAGAGATGGCGCGCAGGTCACCAGGATTGCTGGCAAGCATCTTTCCTCCCCAAGGCGGCTTGCTGGCCTGGCCCCCGCTGCTTATTTTTGGTTCAGCATTCATTAGTGTGAGGACTGAATACAAATCTCTCTAACTGAAAGAACAGACTCGCGTTCTCCGTCTTCCAGATGCATCTTATAAAGCCAACAGTTATAAGTCACATCTGGGCTTCCTGGGTTCCCCGCCCTCACTCTCTGCTAGGGATTGATTGAACCCACGGCCTCTAACAGGCTAGGCAGATGTTCTACCTACAATCCCTTAGGTTGGTAGTAACTGAGGACTCAGATCTCCTCATCTTGTGTCTACCGTGTGCTGGGGAGTGTGAGAACATTTTGTCAGGCCATCAGATATATAAAAGACTCAATTTTTAGTAATGTTGAGATGGCTCAGTGGGCAAAGCATTGGCTACCAAGCCTAATGACCTGAGTTTGAGTCCCTGAACCCACAAGGTAGGAGAGAACTGTCGCCTTCGAGTTGGTTCCACATATATGATGCAGCCTCTGTGCCCGATAAAATAAATAAGTGAAAGAAAACAAGAAAAAAAAAAAACCTTGGCTAAATAATCTTATTGTTCTTTACTCTTTTGAGCAGAAGTAATAGTTTGGAATTAGAAGTCACCAGAACTTTAGGTTTATAAAACATTCCAGATGGGTTTGCATCCGACTCTTCCATATTAGTGATCTGATTAAGTTTATGGCTTATACTTTATCTTTTGCAAGCCTAGACCTCACTCTTGGTAGCCGTGGGTAATATATCCTTAGGCACAACCTGGTAGGCTACTGGCCGAGTGGTAGAGGGAAGGGTTTACTGTCGCACCATTCCTGGAGGTTGGCTCTGTCTGGCCCTCCCTTCATGGCTTCTCATTTGCTGCTTGTACCAGTTGTGGCACAGAAGGCTTCTTCTGCACGTGATTCCATTCAATGGCTTCTCAGCAACTGGTTACTGCTCAGGGGTCGCTTGCGCTTCTGAGATGTCCGTGTGTGGCAAGGAGCAGGAGGTGTTAGCGACCCGTCGCTAGCCACTTCCTTCCACACTCACTGGTTTTTCTTGCCGTTTTGCCCTGAGAGCCTCGTTCTTCTAGCCAGCCAGCATAGAGACCAGGATAGGCCACTCTCCTGCCTTCTTTCTTGTGAGGATCTTAGGGACTGGAACTGGCTGTGTAGCCTAGGCTGGCCTCAAACTTCCCATGTTGTGATTTCGGGTCATGCATTACCACCCCTGCCTCCGCCATGATTCCCAGCACCTCCCTCTCCCGTGTTGATACCTGGAATTCAGCTGGAAGTTTTGCTTTGAGATGAACTCAACTGATCTAACTGTACCTATGTCCACGGCACTGATGGGAAGGTGAAGAAATCTTTATCTTCACCATTTACAGGAAACCTTCATCTTCTGGGACTCTCTGGACAGAATTGCCATTCACTGCAAGGGTAAGCCTTAGTGTGAAGTGTAAAGCACCAAGCAGAAATAAGTCACGTGACAACTGGCAGGAAGATGTGCTATTTTAAGGAAGGCGTGAGGTGTTGAGTTGGGAAAGCATCCAATTGGCTAGCATAGTGTTGTTCCATAGAAAGAAACCGAACCACATAGACCTTTAAAAATTTTCCAGAAGCAAAAATTGTAAAAGGAAACAGGTGACTTTCACTTTAATGTTTTATTTAGCCTAAGTGATTCAAAATAGCATCGTTCACCACATAATCAATCCAAAATATTTATGACTTTTGAAATTTTAGTGATAATTTTTTAAATACAATATTTTTTTTGCACGCTGAATTAGTTATATTGCCAGTATTTAGTAGCCACTTGTAGGTAATAGCCACCATGATGGATAGTGGTGTCTCTGAACCTCCTAGTATAAAACACCCCAGAAGTTGTTAAATCCCACAGGGCTCAGAGGTCTTCGAACCTCTATAGAGTGTCTAAGCTAGGTATTCGTTATATCCATGGGTGGTCATAGCTGTTAACCCAAAGGCTGAGGCAGGAAAGTTATGCTAAATTTCAGGCAAGTGTGAAGAGAAGAAGAGAAAGGAGAGAGAGACGCTTAAGAAAGAGACAAAAATGATAAGCCTGTGAGTGTGTGCAGACTTCTTGAGATCTGCATGTAGGTGTCTTAATAATTGGTGGCCTTTGGAATTTCATTGTTCAAAGGATTTAAAAGATTAGGTTACTTTGATATAGTTACCTGAAAAACTTTTCTAGTAAATGAGGTGATCACATAGCTTGAGGTACTCTTTACAGGTTCACAGAATCAAAAGAAAAGAAAAGAGGAAAGAAAGGTCAAAGCAATCCTTGCTGTCTCTGGGTGGCAAAGAGGGCAAGACAAATTTTGACTGTGAACCTGGCTCCTAGTCTATGTTACTGTCTGAACTCTCAGCCAGCAGGTACCAGGGAGTCCTTTCCTACCCATGGCCCCTTAATGGGTTTGCCTTAAAAAATTGTTTTTATTTTATGTGGGTGAGTATTTTGCCTGCGTGTATATATGTGCACCATGTTCGTGCATTGTCTTGAGAAGAGGCTGTGGGATGCCTGGGACTGGAATTACAGAAGCTTTTGAGCTGCTGCGTAGGTGCTCGGGACAGAGTTTGGATTCTCTGTAAATGCTGCAAGTACTCTTAACCAGTGAGCCATCTTGTCAGCCCTTCCCTGACTTCTTATCTTTCTCAGTTTCCTCAGAAACTTTGATCCTGTAATCTTAAGGATTAATGACAACAGGTTTCATTTCCCAAACTTCTTCACACTAAACAGAAGTGTCGACCCTACCTGGCCAAGGACTGAGAGTCTCCACCTGCCTGATCTAAGGGGATGCAGTGAACTGTGAGCTCGGTGACCACAGGGTCACCCTTTAATGGGAACTGTCATCACCCTGAAAATCATGACACAGAAATTGTAAAGCACACAGCATATTTCTATTTCTGACCCTAAGATGAGCACCCCACACAGAAGGGGGTTGCTCTATCCCTCGCTTTGTCTCTGCAAACCACAGTACTAGTAAATCATCAGAACCCAAGGCAGTGCTGGCTGTGGTGGCTCTAGAGGCTTCAGCACAAGATTCTCTCACACTTAGCCTGGGCTACAGAGTGAGTCTCTGGCTAGCCAGAGATACTGTTTAAAAACCATTCTCAATAAAACCAACCAGCCAAAGAAACACATTTAAAAATCCAAACAAAGGCAAACTTAAGGGAAATCTGGCACAGGTGTGGCTATACACAGCATTCCAGTCCACCCTGACAGCGACATGGCTTTCTCTCTGCTCTCAGAATGCTGAGGGCCATCTGTGTCTGCAGACGGACTGAGGTCATCCTCTTCACGTCTGTGTTGAAGAGCGAGATCCTTTAGCTGTAATAACAAAACACATGCTGATGGTTAAATAGTGCAGCTAAGACAGAACACCAGGAAGGAATCCAGCGGTTGAATAGACTAAAAGAGAAATGGGTTACAACCACAGTCACGGAAAGAAATCAAAGAAGACATCAGAAAATGGAAAGATCTCCCATGGTCTTGGCTGGGTAGGATCAACAAAGTAAAAATGGCAATCTTACCAATAGTAATCTACAGATTCAATGCAATACCCATCAAAATCCCATCACAATTATTCACAGACCTCAAAAGAACAATACTCAACTTCATATGGAAAAACAAAAAATCCAGGATAGTCAAAATAATCCTGTACAATAAAGGAAGTTTTGGAGACATCAGCATCCTTGACTTCAAGATCTATTATAGAGCTATAGTAATGAAAACAGCTTGGTATTGGCATAAAAACAGACACATGGATCAATGGAACTGAATCAAATACCCTGACATTAATCCACACACACCTATAAATACCTGAATTTTGACAAAGAAGTCAAAATTGTATAATGGAATAAAGAGAGCATCTTAAAAAAATGGTGCTGGCATAACTGGATGTCAACATGTAGAAGAATACAAATAGATCCATATCTATTGCCATGCACAAAACTCAAGTCCAAGTGGACAAAAGACCTCAACATAAATCCAATTACACTGAACCTGATAGAAGAGAAAATAGGAAGTAGCCTTGAACACATTGGCACAGGAGACCACTTCCTAAATGTAGCACCAATGACATGGACACTGAGAGCAACAATTAATGAATAGAACCTCCTGAAACTGAGAAGCTTCTGTAAGACAAAGGACACTGTCAATAAGACAAAACAGCAGCCTACAGAATGGGAAAAGATTTTCATCAGCCCCACATCTAACAGAGGGCTGATCTCCAAAATATATAAAGGACTCAAAAAACTAGACATCAAAATACCAACTAATACAATTTAAAAGTGGGGTGCAGATCTAAACAGAGAATTCTCAACAGAAGAATCTCAAATGGCTAAAATACACTTACATAATTGTTCAACATCCTTAGTCATCAGGGAAATGCAAATCAAAGCAACTCTGAGCTACCATCTTACACCTGTCAAAATGACTAAGATCAAAAACACTGAGGACAGCTTATGTGGAGTAAGGGGAACATTCCTGCATTGCTGGTGGGAGTGCAAACTTGTACAACCACTTTGGAAATCAGTATGGCAGTTTCTTAGAAAATTGAGAATCAACCTACCTCAAGACCCATCAATACTACTCTTGGGCATATACCAAAGGATATGCACTCACACCACAAGGACATTTGTTCAACTGGATTTATAGCAGCTTTATTCACAATAGCCAGAACCTGGAAACAACCTAGTTGTTTCTCAACCAAAGAATGGATAGAAAATGGAGTATTACTCAGTGGTAAAAAGCAATGACATCTTGAAATTTGCAGGCAAATGGAGGGAACTAGAAAAAAACCATCCCGAGTGAGGTAACCCAGACCCAGAAAGACAAGCATGGTGTGTACTCACTCATCAGTGGATAGTAGATGTAAAGCAAAGGATAACCAGGCTACAGTCCAGAACCCCTGAGAAGCTAGGGGGACCCTAAGAAAAACAGGCATGGATGCCCCTGGGAAGGGGAAACAGACAAGATCTCCTGAGTAATTGGGAGTCTGTGGGGTGGGGGAGAAGGGAGGGTGGAAAAAGGCAGAGGGGGAAAGAGGGGGAGGAGACCATGAGGGAAGGAGATAGTTGAACTGGGGGAGGGACAGAGAAGGAGAGCAAGAAAAGAGATATCTTAATAGAGGGATCCATTATGTGGTGCTATGGAAATTCCCAGGAATTCACAAGAGTGACCCCAGCTAAGACTCCAAGCAATAGTGAAAAGGGTGCCTGAACTGCCCTTCCCCTGTAATCAGATTGATGACTACCCTAATTGTCATCATAGAACCTTCATCCAGTAACTGATGGAAGCAGATGCAGAGATACACAGCTAAGCACTGGAACTCACTCTTGGAGTCCAGTCGAAGAGAGGGAGAAGGGATTATATGAGCAAAGGGATCAAGATCATGATGGGGAAACCCAAAGAGACAGCTGACTCAAGCTCACTGTACTTGCTCATTGACTCTGGACTGACAGCTGGGGAACCTGCATAGAATCGAACTAGACCCTTAGAATGTGAGTGACAGTTATGTGGCTTGGCAAGTCTGTGGGTCCTGTGGCAATGGACCAGGATTTATCCCTAGTGTATGAAATGGCTTTTAGGAGCCCATTCCCTATGAAGGGATATCTTGCTCAGCCTCAGAACAAGGGGGAAGGGCTTGGTCCTGCCTCAACTTGATATGCCATGATGTGGGATTCCCCTCTGTATGCTGTGTATTCTGTGAATATCTTTTATTACCATTGGTTAATAAATAATCTGCTTTGGGCCTATGGCAGGGCAGATTAAAACCAGACAGGAAATCTGAACAGAAATATAGAGTGAAAGTAGGCGGAGAGATGCCATATAGCGGCTGAAGGAGAAAGACACCTACTGGTAGGTCACAGCATTGTGGTGATACATAGATTAATAGAAGTGAGTTAATTTAAGATGTAAGAGTTATCCAGGAATATGTCTAAGTCACTAGCCAAGCGTGTTGTAATTAATATAGTTTCAGTGTGATTATTTCGGGTCTGGGTGGCCTGTAAACAGACAAGGGGCCTCTTACTACAATGCCAGGCTTTGTTGACTCCCCATGGAAAGCCTTACCCTTTCTGAGGAGTGGATGGGGGTTGGGTGGGGTGATAGTGCAGGAGGAGTGGAGGGAGGGGGAACTGTGGTTGGTATGAAAAATAAATTTTAAAAAACGTTGAGATTGTCCAGTGTCATCCTTCCAAGTAGCTGAGATGAGAAGTCTGAACCGCCAGGTCCAGCTAAGGTTCTTTGTTTTGAGATACTGGGAATTGAAACAATGGCAATGAACAAGTCAGGCAAGTTATCGCTACCATTGAGCTACATTCCCAACACTCTGTGTATGTGTGTGTGTGTGTGTGTTTGTGTGTGTGTGTGTGTGTGAGACAGACAGACAGACAGACAGACAGAGAGGCAGAGAGAGAGAGAGAGAGAGAGAGAGAGAGAGAGAGAGAGAGAGAGACAGACAGAGACCCTAAGTTACCACGGTTGGTCTTGAACTCAGCCTGTGGCTCAAGCATCACTTGCATTTCCAGCTGCCCTCCTTCAACCTTCTGAGTTGCTGGGATTACAGACATGCGCCACCAGCTTGGCTGCACTATTAAACTCTGAGTTAAGGAACATTTTTGGAGTTATGAGTGACATTACAGTGCCTACTGCAGGAAGCATCTGAAAAGAAAAATAGAACACAGGACTACCAGCTCTCAGAATGGTGCCTACGAATCTCTGTAAGCTGGAGATCAGTCGCCTCTTCAAACTTCTCAGACAGAGGTGCCCTCCAGAGCTTTTCTGACATGTCCCTGGATAACTTGCTGTGACTTCTCAAGTCACATTTTAGAAAGAAGGATGAGTTCTGAACAACTGAGATATTCTATTTTGTAGCTCCTTCCCATAGGTGCCTATCTCTTAGGAGTGGTTAGGGATCAATTAGCCATTTGTGATTGGGATGGAAGTGTCCATCGTAGGCTCGTGTGTTTGAACACTGGTCCTCAGCCCTTGGTGTCTTTTTGGAACCTTTAGGAGGCACAGCTTTGCTGGAGGAAGTGACTCACCGAGTGGACCCTGAGGTTTGACTGTCCAGCCCCACTTCCTGAGCTTCCTGACTGCGCAGATACTCAGTTCTACTCACACCAAGGCTTCCCTACTGTACCTTTTGAACTGTAAGCCAAAACAAACCCTCCTAGCTTGAGATGGCTTCTTGTGAGGCATCCGTCACAGCAACAAGAAAAGCAATGTGGTAATGATTTAGGGGGAAGGAGAAGGAAGGGAAAGGGTGAAGGGAAGAGGAAGGATGAGGGAGGGAGGAAAAGATGAGCGAAGCGGGAATGAGGAAAGAGAAGGAAGAGGAATAAATAAGCCAGCCACAGCATCAGGAAGTGATACTGCTGGTAAGCAGTTGGCTGGAGTGATGCTACCGATCTACCCAGCATGCCCTTCTGCAGCACAGGCAGAGCACAGGTTAGCTCCATGGAAGATTTGTGAGAAGCAGGAAATATACCTCCTTGGGGAAGATGCTGCCCTTGGTGAGGAAGAGACTGGCTCGGTTTCAGACAGAATCTGTGTTCTGTACGCAAGGACCCTACTAACGGTTCCATGGACAGCTGCCTTAGGGCTGGTGTTGGATGCAGAGCTGGATGCATTGGCAGTCGCTCCATCCAGGACCTTCTACAGTGTTTAGATGGGAACCCAGCTATCGATAGGGCTTTGACTGGTTACAGATTGGATTTGGGGCTTTTTGGCCAAAATCTCTTTTTCTTCAGCCAAGAGAAGTCTCTGGTTCCTTCTGTCTGTTTCCCAATCTCCCCTGGGATTAGTTAAAGGACCCATGCTGAAGGATATAGAGAAGCTGGCGATGTCTTCCCTCACCCTCCCCTGTAACAGGAACTACAAATGGCAGGCCAATCCAGGCCTCGCTAGCTCTTTCCTTTAAGTCAGTGGCCAGAAGGAAGGGATGGGAGGCAAAGCAGGAAGGGGGATCAACTAATGTTGTTTAAGACTGCTTGGCACAGAGGGTAAAAGCCTCCGGGCCTCTGGCTGAAGATAGCACAGAAAGGGACAGACAGACAGAGCCAAGCTTCAATCATTTCTCATCAGTGTTTACATCAGCGAGCTCTGGGCACTGCCTGGTTGGCAGCCTGGGTGCTGGTAGCATTTGGCTCACGGCCCAGTTGGAGAGAGGCTCCAGATTTTGGAGGGGGCGGAGGAAAGCAAGAACAACACGTTCTGTTTATGCAGATGGTTTGGAGGCCTCCGTTGTGGTCAAGTGTGCAGGTCACCTGGTTTCAGAGTGATACACCCGCCCACAACAGGCCACAGATGCCAGTAGGGTTCTG